TTTATCATAAACAAAATCCACCTCAATTTTCAACATAAAGCATTACACAAAATCAATACCTCAACACTCCATACTCAACAACGATAATTCACAAACAGCCAGAACATGTAACTCCACATTCCCAAACAGACCTAATTTCCATAGCCCTGCCCCTTATGCAAAACCAACATCCCTCCCCTGTTCTCTCTCTCCCCTGGCGTTTGTATATCTGTTGAACAAGTAAAACAGTTCCAGCAAGGCTTGAGGGCAAGTAAGAAGTAAGAAGCAACAAGCTTCATGAGATGCAGAAACAACTAGAGGAGCCAACACTGAAGTTTAACACATACAGTGAGGTGGTTGTTAATTCAAAGCTCAGTGTCAGTTCTCACAGATCTTTAAAATCCCTGAGAAATGTGCTGCTTCCAGCACTCAGGACTCTGATAAAGCCAAAGGTTGTCTTATTGCTAACAGACAATTCAGCTTTGAGACCCTCTGTCACTTGATGAAAGATGTACTTGTGCATTTAGTTCTTCTCTCAAAGCATTTTAAAAGGGAATACAGACTTCTCCACAGTCCGACCTATGGTTCAGCTAAAGAGGCACTGAGAGAGGTATTAGTCCATCCTGGTCCTTCAGAGCAGGACTTTTTCAGTTCCCTTCAAGGAAAAACTTTAAAGGAGACAAACTGTTTGTCATACACAAAAGCCATCCTTTGACAACATGCAAAGCTGATACGTGGGTTTAATGAGGAAGAGAAAAAAAAAAACTTATCATCCTTCTCCTGTTATGTTCTTGTACCTGCAGTGGAGAGGAGGTTGGCAATAAAGGACAGATTGACAACAAGGTTGGACAGTATTTACAATGAACTTATGAAGATCATGTTGTGTAGTAATTATTTACCATTATTCCCCTCCAAGATGCTGAAATCTCCCCATGAGCTTCATGTAAAGGGGGAATTCCCCCTCATTTTCAAAAATGAATTTCAAGCCCTGGTCATGAACAAATTCAGGGTAAAGTTTTTTACACTTTTCATCATCATCTGCGGAATCTATTCTAATCCCAAGTATTTCCTGTGTTCTGAAGAGCAATCCAAATGTCATATTCCTTCCACAATTGCTGCAGTGTCTTGTCCTCATCAGCGTCTCCCTTATCGACGGAGTGTTCCATATGAAGCTACAGAAAATGTTTCTTAAATGTTGAACTCGCCCCTTGGTCAATCGGCTGCAGTAGCGATGTTGTAATAGTCAGCATAAAACGTATCGCTATTTTCATCTTCTTTGGGGTGGCCAGGTGGATTGTTGGGAATAGTAAAGACTTTATCAAGGTTATTCTTCTGGCGATATTCCTTAATAAAGGGTGAAAGATGTGTTGGTGAACATTGTCCGTCTTATCCAGGCCTTAGGGTTTGAATGCTAAATAACTGGGAGCAATGACTTGCAGAGCTCTCAGATTCTCGGAATGATAAACAAGAAGAAGCCTGTGTTTTACGTTGCCCTCGGGGTTGCCTCCTCTTGGCAAAGTCAGTCCAACCTTCGATGCCTTATGCCTTCTGACCTTGGTTTCCTCTTGAATTAAATACAGATGAGGGTATTCTCTTACAGAATAGCCCTGTCTCATCAAGGTTGAATATCTTTTATCAGTTCTTCTTAAAACTTCTAATTTCCCACTTAAGAGTACTGATTTTATTTCCCTTTTGCCTTAGTAACACCACCAGACACTACTTTAGCTATTTTGCTTTAACAACACATGATTACAGATAAAAAAGCACAGAAATCTCAGATAAAATAACACCACAAAGGCTAGTTGATTCCACACAATTTCAAACAAAGGTGATGGACTGGGATGCTGTATATTCCTCCGCTGCATTTCATCTGCTATTTTCCGAGAAGTATTCCTCAAAAACAGTTATTGGTCCATCGCATCCGTAGTGGATTGTCTGTTAAAACAGGAATTCATCCTTATGAATTTTGGGTATAAATTAATGGTGTCCTTTAACACGAATTTCTGGATAGTGAGGGATAGGTGTATGAGATATGATTGTCAGGGAGGTGGAGCCTTTTCCAAATAAAGGCATGTGTTGCTAAGCAACCATAGCGTAAAAACTTTGGAATTTAGCAAGTAGCAGCAATGAGCCATTTTAAAATAATTGGCTGTATACTTCCCTGGAGGAGATACTTCTAGAGAGCCTCTGAACCAGGCTCTGACCAGAGAAGGAACTGTAGCTCCACTGTTTTATGTAGTATCTGTGGGTTGTTCACCCATCACATGTAGACAAGACAGAAAATTTAGCTGAGAAGAGAATTTACTAGAACTTGTTAAAGTTGACCTCGTAGATAGCAGTTAATATATACTGTATTTACTATTGTGAACAGAACAAAAGTGTTTAGGCTTCCCACTGGAAAGATGAAACTGGACAGCATTGGTCTGTAGTCCAAGCAGGGAGAAGACCGCTTTTCCTACCATTACCAAGGTCTGATCTGCCAGGAAATTAGCATTGTGCTAATAGTATTTGTCTGTTACCCAGTGAATTATCTGCTAGGAAACCCTACATTTTTTTTCTGCATCTTTCTAACCTAGATCTCAAGGGTCCAAAACCCTAATGCATAAAATTTTCTGTTGAAAATTCGGATTGCATAATATTGGTTTTTTTTTATTCATGTGCAAAAACTGCATTGGTTAATTGTCAGAATTGTGAGTCTTGACAACAGTTTCAAAATGTTATGGTTATTACTTGATATTTATTATGAGAATGCATACTATCTGCTGCAGTGCTACTGCTACTGCTATTTTACTTGCTGCAGTGATAGATAAAGTGGATCCCCCATTAAATGTAATGGCTTTGTGGATGAAAAACACTATATAAATGACTTTATTAACCACTATAATATTCCTGGAAGGCATTTTATATATTTAAATAATTATTTAAAATGATTTTAATTTGGATTAGCAAATAAAGCTTTATTTCAGTGTATTGTTTTCCTGGCTCATTATAATTATTTGGCATCTCTTACTTTAAAATACTTTGGGTCACTTTTTTGACATTGGTTTAGAAATTTTGATCTGGATAGAAGATTGCTTCATACTTGTTCATGAACACCACTTCTAGAAGCACCATGTTTTTTTCTTTTTAGAGGTCTTCCTTCTGGGGCTGAGCAGACCTAGCCTTTCGAAGTATGTGGGATCTGTCTAGATCCACTACAAGGAGTCAGTGTTTGTCAGTTTACTATTATTTTGTGAATACTGTGATAAGTGAGTAAACCCAGTGGTGGTAGAACACAATTAGGAGTCTTTTGTTCCATGAAACAGAATCAATTGAAAATCCATGTTCTGAGTTATGAAAATCTGAATATTTTTCAGAAAAATATTCAAGAATTTACAGTGAATATATAGTACATGAAATTCTGTTTAAAATGTGATTATACATCGTTTGCCTATAGCCATTTAGCCTTGATTAAGTGCCCTGCTTTTAAATAATTATGGATTGGCACACAGGATTGTTTTACTTTTAAATAATGGGAAGGCTTTGAAAGGTTCTTTTAAATTAATTGGAAGGTTAGTATTCATAATTTGCTTGATTACATGTTGTAGTCAGTTTGCCCCTTATTGTAGAGTAGGATTTGTGTACAGTACTAAGTAAAAGAAGTTCAGTTTCCTTAAGAGACACTCAGGTGCTGCCACAGTCTGAATCTTTTGTTTTTTCACTACAACTAATCTAATGGATTACAGAATTAACACATGAATACTGTTATAAATATACTAAGACTTAGGAGCCATTTTATGATTCCATGGAAATTCCAAACTTGGACCCATTTATTATACTGTGCAAGTACACTGTTCACACACCTGCATATAACTGCACCTCTTTGTTTTGTACTGCAGCCTCCTGTATTTTCTCTTCCATAGGTACCCTTTTGAGCCTCCAAAAATGCGATTTCTGACGCCAATTTACCATCCTAATATTGACACTGCTGGACGAATTTGCCTGGATGCGTTGAAACTGCCTCCCAAGGTGGAGTACCTTCACATTGACTACTTCCTAATAACAGCAGTATTTGATAATGGTCAAATTTTTACATGATACTCAATTGATACTTGGATTCTGAGTTTTCACTTAGTAGAAAATTCTTAGAAGCGGCGAAACTGGCAAGGGACAGCTTGATTGTGATTTTTTGAGAGAAAAGGGGAGAAGTGAAATAAGACCCATACTTTCAGTAGGTATAGAATCCAGGGAAGTTTTTTTTTGTAAGTATGGGTTTATAATGTGGTTTTCTTAAACGTAGATGGAAAAGAGCTGGAAAGGGAAAGGCTAAAGAGGGGCAAAAGCAATGTTACATCAAAATGCCTCGGATGGGCATTTGCATTCGACCTTGAATTATTCCATGGAGATCAGTGTCTGAGAGGCTTTCCTAGTTCCCAAATTGCAGCTGTAACCAATTCTAACATTTAATTGATTTTTTTTTATTTTATTCTTGTTAGAGGCATGTAATAGAGCCAACTTTATGTACTTGATGGAGTATTCATTAGAGGTTATGGAATACTGCTTCTAGGCTTCTAGCGACCTCTTGTGGTAAAACAAGGTTCCTATCCAACCATAAGTTTTTTAGTAACTGCTTTATTTCTAGAGCAAGCAGTGAGCTAGAGTCTACTCCAGGGAGCTTAAACACTGGGTGAGATTCTAAATCTATTGGTATTATGACCAAAACTGTATACAATATCCATATTGAGGTGTTATACCTTGAATTTAAATTCTCCGATTTTAAATGTATATCCTTTCCGTCTCTTCATTGCTTTCGCACATTGTTTACAAAATGTAACTATGAACATTACCAAAGGCATTTTCATTAGTATACTCTCTAAGGTCTGAGGTACCCATGCTTATATACAGTGGATATAAAAATTCTACACACACTTATTGAAATTGCAGGTTTTTGTGATGTAAAGCCAGAAATCAAGATAAATCATGTCAGATATTTTTCCATCTTTAATGTAACCTTGCAACCAACAAAATTCAAGAGAACAAAATAGAATAGAAAACAAATAGATAATTATTAGGAAAAATAACTAAAATTAAAAAAAAAACGACAACACTCTGGTTGCATAAGTGTGCACACCATTTTATAATGGGGACTGTAGCTGTGTTCAGAGTTAACTAATTACATTCAAAATCATGTCCGAAGTGGCATACACACCTGAAGAAGGCTCCACGGCCGAAACGTTGTGTTCTCTTTCTTCTTTTTTTCAGCATGGAATAAACCTATTACTTGTTCCTTTGCAGCCTACGCATGCTGACGCAGCTACCCACCTGAACTACACATGCCATGATTGAAAATTATTCTGATTAACCCCAAATAAAAATCGGCTGTTCCTGTAGGATTTCCTTAAGTCTTTCGTGGTTGCATCCTACTTGGATAGCCATGGACCGCAAGGAGCTGACAAAACATCTACGGGATCTTATTGTTGAATGGTACTGATCAGGAGAGGGGTATAAAAGAATATCAAAGGCATGGAGAACTGTGAAGACTGTCATCAATAAGTGGAAAAAATGTGGTACCACAGGGACATAGTGGTGGCACTGTGGCTAAGGATCAGTGCCTGTGGCTGGAAAGTTGACGGTTCATATCCCGCGGCCGGCAGAGGAATCCTACTCTGTTGGGCCTCTGAGCAAGGCCCTTAACCCCAACTGCTCCAGGGGCACTGAATAAATGGTTCACCCTGCGCTCTGACCCCAAGCTTCTCTTTCCCTGTCAGTGTGCCCATGTGCCTCATGGAGAGCAAGCTGGGGTATGCGAAAAGACAAATTCCTAATGCAAGAAATTGTACATGGCTAATAAAGTTAAAATCTAAGTCCAAGTTCTGGACGACCCTCCAAATTTGATGACGGGACAAGGAGAAAGATTATCAGGGAGGCTCCCAAGATGCCTACAGAAACATTAAAGAAGCTGCAGGAATTTCTGGTAGGTACTGGTCACTCCTTTTATGTGACAACCTCCAGTATTCTGCACTACTGGGCTATGGGGTAGTGTGGCAAGACGGAAGCCATTTCTCACAAAATAGAACATCCAAACCTGTCTAAACTTTGCAAAAAAATAATTCAATCACCCCACACCATCTTAAGGTCTGATGAGACAAAAGTTGAACTTTGGCCTTACTTCTAAAAGATATGTTTGGCGCAAAGACAACACAGCTCATCATCCAAAGAAAACCATACCTACTGTGAAGCATGGTGGTGGCAGTATCATCCTTTGGGGCTGCTTCTCTTCAGCTGGAACAGGGGCTCTAGTCAAGATAGATGGGATAATAACTAGCTCCAAATATCAAGATATTTTGGCACAAGACCTGCTCAGAAAGCTGAAGATGAAAAGGAATTTCACCTTCAAATATGATAACAACCCAAAACACACATTTAAGTCGATCAAGGAATGGCTTCAGAAAAGGAAGATCAGTCTTGGAATGGCCCAGTCAGAGCCCAGACCTCTATCGCATAGAAAATGTGTGGAATGACCTAAAGAGGGCTATGCACAGGAGATCCCCTGGCAATTTGAAGGATATTGAATTTTTCTGCAAGGAAGAGTGGGATAACATTGCAAAGTCCAGGTGTGCAAAGTTGATAGAGACTTATTCACGAAGACTTATTGCTTTAATATATGGAGAAGGTGCTTCCACAAAGTATTAATTAGTGGGGGGTGTACACTTTATCAACCAGGGTGTTGTAGGTTTTTTCATTTCAATTATTTTTCCTAATAATTATCTATTTGTTTTCTATTCTATTTTGTTCTCTTGAATTTTGTTGGTTGCAAGGTTACATTAAAGATGGAAAAATGTCTGACATGATTTATCTTGATTTCTGGCTTTACATCACAAAAACCTTTCAATAAGGGTGTGGAGACTTTTTATATCCACTGTAAAGGTCATGATTTTACTACCTGCATTTATTACTCTGTTCTAATATACATTAGTAATCACATTCCAGATGTTTGCTTCATTTTCAGGGTGCTTGGAAGCCTTCTCTCAACATTTCTACTGTTCTCACTTCAATCCAGTTGCTGATGGCTGAACCAAATCCTGATGATCCCCTGATGGCTGACATTGTGAGTAACCACCAGCAGTAATGTATGCAGTAGGATACAGAATGAGAAATGTGTGCTTTTGGCGTCACCTTCAGGGAGGTGTTTTGGAATGTCTATGGCTAAGTAAAATTTGTGTGAGAAATCATTTGTTCTCTGTGTTTAATCTGTATACAGTATTAAACACAACTAAGTGAATGTTTCCTGTTTGAAGCTATCGACTTATAATGGTGGTGTAATATGAGCAGAGTGAGATGCGCATGTATATGTTTGTTTTTAATTTGTATTTATTTTATGTTGAGTGTTGTTTTTTGTAGGTTTGTATGGTGATACCAAAGAGAAATGTCCACACTTACTGTTGGTCAATAAATGTGTATGTTACATTCCTGCATAATTTACCCAAAATCTGCCCTTGATCATAAGTCTATCTGCCTCTAAGCAGTAGACACCCACATTTAGACAAACACCTCAAATTCCACCTATTACCCAAGACATCCTTTTTAGGTCTTGAGTAGATCAGTAAGATGTGAACTGCAAATTTCATACTCCCTAGCTTAATGAAATGAGGTATCAATCTTATTTTAGGAAGATATCAGGATCTCCAGTTCCTAGGTCTCTTGGTAGTGTATTCACATATTGATAATTTAAACATCGCTGGTGTAAGTGTAAAATTGGCTTCCAAGTAGCTGAGTTTGAAGTTGGAACCAATACTGAAATAGTATTTCAGCAAGTAGTGTGAAAACACTGAAATTAAAAATGAGCTGCCTTAAAGTACATTTCTCTAGTACATTCTGTATTTCTCCCCTGCCTGTGATTTATAACATGGCAGTCTGCCAAAATACCTGTAGATACTGTTTATGCAATGAGAAGGTGGCTGAATTTACTTCTGGAAGGAAAAAACCTTCCAGAAACCCTAAAAAGAGACAATTAAATGCAGTTCAAGTAAGTAGCTGCTTCAGCATGCATAGGCTGCAAAGCAACTAGTAGCTGAACAAGAACATTTCTTTTTTTCAGCATGGAGTAGACAAAGGTTTCCCATAAGGTTCTGGGTAATCAGTAGAGTGCACTGCAACCATGTTTAATGAAATGTCACTATATATGTAGTAAGCATGAATGGATTGGGGGTCTTTCTGAGAAACTACATTTAGGTTGAGTCATGTTTTACAAGAGATTGCTTCTCAATTACAGAGTTGCCTGGCTGTTCTTTTGTAGGCATCAGTTTCTCCGCTTAAAGACGGTTTACTTTTTTGTATTCCGTATGTTAAGGATAAGAGATTTTTGTGAGAGAGCTTGCCCTCTGAGGAGCCAGTTTGATTATTCGATAAAGTCAAAGGGAGCTCCTTGGTGGCCAAAATGATCTCAACCAAAGGATAAGGTTGAGAAAGCCCTGTGAAGACTTACATATAGAGATAATTTAATAGCATAGTTAGGTTCAAGGACTAATATAGAGAGGCTGCTGTAGGCTCAAGTGTAATCTCGTCGATCAGGCCATAGCCCTTATTAGAAAAAACCTTCTATAAAGCTTTCATTGTGTGGAAAGTGGAAAATTGTCTATAAAGAAGTTTTATGTTCAGAGGTTTCCACCAGCCATGTGTGACATGGTTGTGTGCAAAAGCCATATTCTTGGTTCAGATCTCATGCCAGTGGTTGAGCCTTGAACCAGGATGGCCAGGTTGGTTAATTGAAAGTTTCTGTAGAATGAGAGACAGCCTGTCTGAATGAGCCCCCAAATGTAGCAAAATTCCACGTGAGGGAAAGGAGTGGTCAGGATTGGTTCTGCATAAAATTGCCAACTCCTCTGTGCTAATTAACATATCAATAATAAAATAGAATAAAAGCTAGTCTGTGTCTAGACTCCCATCTGAAAGGAAAGAGTGTTACCTATGCAATACAATCTTCACATGAAAACTGTTTTTACTGACGTAAAATAAAGATTCTCTACTTCATTGGAAAAGCACCAATGAAGACAAGGTGATATGGAGGGTATTATATAGAGTTTTTTTTTAATTATTTTCAGTCATCAGAATACAAGTATAACAAGCAAGTTTATGTGGAGAAAGCAAAGAGGTGGACATGGAAACATGCCATGCAAAGGAACAAGGTGAGCTGCTTTTTTTACATGGTCTCTTATTAAGCTCTACTGTAGTCATCTGACCAGGTGAGAAAGAGAATAAGCATAAAAGAAAAGAATAAACAATAAAATGGGAATAACACAGTTAAAGTAATTGAAAGAATTCACTGTTCTAAGAAGATAATGTTCTTGTAGATTTCCTGCAAGAAATAGTTTCAATAGTGAAAATAACTGTATAATTTTAGGGTACTTTGTGTACTGAACTGGTTAGCTTAAAAGGGGGTTATGTTTGATTGAGTACAGTTAGTTTTTAAGCATCTAAGATACTCTTGATAATCATGAGTGCTTCACAATTTTTTTATTATTGTGATTCTCTGTTTGAGTTGTTTTATATTTATAAAAGTTCTCAATCGTGTTTTTTTTTGTTCTCAGTAATAATCCACTCAGTAACTAGAAAAGTCTATCAAAGTGAGGTTTGATAAAATGTGTACATCTTTTTGAGTACATACTGTAGCTTTCACTTTTAACACTTTGAAGTACAGAACTCAGAGAAGATGACAATGGGTAGCCTTTCCCTTTGATAGAAACTTCATTTTTATTATGGGAATCATGGATTCATTAATATTAAATGCACCAACAACACTATTGCTTTGACCTTCTTGCATCTAATAAAGAACTTTTACTTTATCTTCCAGAATCTCTGAACTTGCCCACTGATTCTTTCTCATACACTTTGTAGCAAATTTAAGTAGTGTATATATTTTTTTGAGAAATAGTATAACAATATACAGATGCAGCCATTCAAAGTGCGCGGTACAGACACGTACCGGAGGTAATTGGGTACGGCGTCGCGCATCGTGACGCAAGATGACGCGGGGTACCGCGGTACGTGATTGGTTGACCGACAGAGGCACTCGTGGTCCGTTGGTCTGTCGTAGAAAGATTTACAGTAAACGTCTTTACTGTGCCCGTTGTAGTATTGAATATTCATATGGAATTTTACCACTGAA